TCGGACCATCGGACCATCGGATCATCGGATCATCCGACCATCGGACCTTCGGAGCATCGGATCATGGGATCATCGGACCATCGGATCATCCGACCATCGCATCCTTCCAGGCCCGAGCCACATCAAATAGAAGATACAAAAAATGGCAAAGAAGAGGAAGAGAAGGGAAGGGAAAGGAGAAAGGGTGGGGAAAGGGGGAAGGAGGAGGGCAGGGGGAAAGAAGCAGAAGGGAAGGGAGAGTCTGAGAAGGGGGAAGGGGGAAGGAGGTAAAGGAAAGGAAGGTAAAGGTAAAGAGACGGAAGGAAAGGTGGAAAGGGAAGGGTAAGGCCCTGGTCTTCCAGGCCCGAGCCACATCAAATAGAAGATACAAAAAATATGCCAAGAAGAGGAAGAAAAGGGAAGGGAAAGGGAAAGGGTGGGGAAAGGGGGAAGGAGAAAGGCAGGGGGAAAGAAGCAGAAGGGAAGGGAAAATCTGAGAAGGGGGAAGGGAAGGCGGTAAAGGAAAGAAAGGTAAAGGTAAAGAGAAGGAAGGAAAGGTGGAAAGGGAAGGGGAAGGCCCTGGTCTTCCATGCCCGAGCCACTTCAAATAGAAGATATTAAAATGGCAAGGAAGAGGAAGAGAAGGGAAGGGAGAATCTGAAAGACTATATATGTAATTCTTCTTCACCAATTTCATCAATAAATTGTGAATCTGTTTCAATTTCCTTGCATTAAATTACATCGTTTGTTTGTTTGTTTGTATCTTCTATTTAATCTATCTACAGGAAACCCATTGAGAGGACCTAGCGGAAGCTGCAATGGTTCCTGCAATTTCCTTGAGGGATGTGCAAAGTTGGCATCGTGGCTGCGGTAATGGGATGATTATCGGCAATGTTGGCATGGTGGTGCTCAGTGTGCTGGCCTCAGTGAGGCCTACAGCCGCATGGAAGGCCAGAGATTTGAACAAAAAGAGTCCATCATCCAAAGCCGGCCCCACACACACTCACACACATATATATATATAGATACATAGAGAGAGTATATAAAGATGTTTTGTCCCTGACAGGAAGTCGAGGCCATGGCCATTGAACAGCAGGAAATGCTTGGCATCCCAGCGCAGCTCAAATATCATGGTGGGTGGAAGAAGTGGCGGTTGGAGGTGGGTGAGACAACCCACAGCTTCCTGGACAAAACCCAAGCCCTTCAGGTGTCCAAATGGGTCGGAGAGTGCATGGTGAGATTAGAATCCTCCTCCAACCACAGTCTGACCGCAGAGTTGAAAGAGGCGGGCCTGAAAGCGAAAAGGTCGAAGCAGGACTTGGTCAAGGCAGTGCTCCGTCTACGGTACAAAGCTGCTAGCCACCCTTGCATATGCTGCACAGGCGTGAAGGCGGGGATCCCTCTATATAAGCCATAGAAAGACCAAACAAAAGGTTGTGTGTGTGTCGTTTAGTTAGATGTCCTACACCTGGGGGATCAAATAGAAGATACTGCATGAAATCTATATTGTGTGGTTGTGGTTCTGCACGTGATCTTCCACTATATACACATATATATATATATATATGTAGATTCTTCTTGTTCACCTTCCCATTTTTTGCCCTGGCAGGCAGAAAGTGCGCCGATGCCGGTGAGCACGCCAAAATCCAAACCGATGAAGGCCAAACTCATCCGCTATTAGTTTCATCTTTTGGTTCTTGCTCAAATGCCACAATAATCCACAATACACTTGGGCTCCACAGAGTATTTCAAATAGAAGATAAGAATTGAGACAACAGAAATACATAGAAACAGCCACTGAATCCATGCAGGAACCACAGACGGTGGAGAAGGCGAAAGTCAAAGAACCATCCAAGGCCGACAAGCGTTGAACAAGCTGATTTGCTTTCACATATAATATATATATATATATGTATGCGTGTGTTTACCGCTGGCAGGCAAAAGGTGCAAAGATAGAACCGGAAGTGGAGGCTCTTGCGGCCCATGAGCTTGACCAATTTGTTTCTAGTCTAGAGGTAGGTGAGTTCAGATAGAAGATATACAGTGTTCAGCTTCAACCAGAGGAGTGGGCGGAAGTAGAGGCCAAAGCTACCCGTACACTTTCAACACTTAGCTTCCAGTCAAGTCAAGTTGTTACAGCTTATCCTGTTTTTTCGTGTCTCTGCAGGAATCTACGGTTGTGAAGCAGGCGGAAGTCGCAGAACCTTCCCAGGAGGCAGACAATCATTTAGGGCAAATCGATATGAATATGAACATCAAATAGAAGAAACCTTTTTTGACCAGGGGATGTTGGAATTTGGCTTTCTCTTTTTGTGAGACAAACGGCAAAAAGAACCATGATAAAACAACCAGAGGAATGGATGGATGTTCGCACAGCTTGTTTGTCCTGCTTTTTCGTGCCCGTGCAGGAACCTACGATTATGAAGCAGGCGGCAGTCGCAGAACCTTCCCAGGAGGCAGACAATCTAGAGCAAATGGGCATCGTAATCAAATAGAAGAAACTAAATTTTAACGAGAGTATGTGGGTAGCCTTTTGCCTTTTCTTTAGGAGGCTGAAGGCAAAAAGAACCAGAAGAAACAAGCAA